ATATATATATATATATATATGTTTAGATATATAAAGCATTTTTTATAGCAGCCTTTGCATTGCAAATGAAAAGGTGACAAATGTGGTAAGATGTGATCTACCTTGTGTTCATGCTGCAATACACAGGTTCAGCAGCACCAATCTTCTTCAAAGATGAACCTTTATGCCAGATCTAGACTTTCAGGAAGGAGGAGTCCTGTTGCTATACAGAGCAGACAGCAATGTAGCTTCACCTCCTGTCACCCAGCGCGAACTTCCAAAGTGCAGAATCCTCTTGGGGGGAAAATGTCACTATTTTCTAGAGTCATTTCACATTGCCTAACATTGCATCTTAAAATGCAGAGGGCAAGGGCAAGGGCAAAGGATAGGGAAAACGCTGCATAGTGAAGGAATGTCTAAAATAAATATATTAATTCAAGGTGGGCCAAGACTATGCCACAAAGTATTCAGAACTCCACACACTAAGCGACATTTTTGTGGGAGAGGTAGGGCAAAGAACAGGGAAACAACATCACGGGGTACCATACTGGGCAAGTATTAGTAACTGATATTCAATTTGTTTTTGTTGAGCTCCCGCTCCAGGTTTCCTATCAGAGTATCAATACTTTCTTGTAGATCTTTGAGGTTTACTTTGTGGTCCACCGCTGAATCTATTGTTTGCATTTTCAAATAAGTATGAAATGTGTGTTCTCGGGACACAGATTTTGGATACTTAATCAGTGCATCTGATCCATCAACTTTGCTACAGTCTTCCCCGCTTTCTGTATCTTCTGAAGGGACATTATAGTCTGCTTCATTCAGGGTCTCTACTGGGTTTAAGAAGTAATTTTCCCCGCAGCTACTCCAGTCTCCTGCATAGCGATTACTTGAGGGACTGTCTAATCCAGCTGGTCTTGGCCTCAGTACTCCTGACATTTGAGTACTGCTTAAGTTCAACATCTGAGGCCGCTGCTTTTTGGGCCTCAGATAATTCAGAGATGACTGGTGCCCTGGAAATACACTTGTCGATTCTTTGGTAGATGAACGATGCACTAGAACAAAGAAATTCAATAAATCATATGTGGATCATTATTACTAGAACAGACTAGCAATGAAAAGTTGCCATTTATTTCACTCTACACGCTCATGCATTAATACATGCAAATATATGCCCAACACATTCCGCTATTATTTTCTTTCTGCCATTTTTATCACTCAGATGAGAAAGAAAAATCTAGAAGAAAGCTCAGTCTTCAAGATTCATGCCAAATTCAAACTGCAATTGAGAAAGTTTATTTAAAAACAGAAAAAGTCCAGAGTACTGATTAACTCACTGAGTTAATCACCATCTAGCTATGGTTCAAATTAAAGCCAAGAGCTCAGCTCACACGCCTCTCTGAACTAAACGGCATAACAGAAAGCAGGCACGGCCCATAGAGGTTAAAAACAGTAAAAATATCACCACTGAGAAACACCTAAAGAAGCTAAAGGCACATCAGAGTTGATCTCTTGCATTTCTCTTCTCTCTCAACTTTGTGCACTACTAATAGAAGCTCTTTTGCATTAATTTTTCTAAGCAGCCATAACTCCATGTCAGAGAAAATACACTCAAAACAGGTTTGATGATGTGTTACCTGAACTCATGATTAAACAGCGTAAGTTACTAATAGTCTCCTCCTTTGTTATCCGTTTCCTATGGTAAACAGCACAAATATTTTTATTGACCGATGCCTACTAAATATAGAAACTGCAAAGCTATCTGTTGTGCACTAGACTATTACCTCTTGAAATGAGACACCATTCCCATTTGCGGTTAGCAATACAGCATATACAAACACCTACAGATCAGGAAGATCTGTCCCTTTTAAATAGTGGCCTCCTCTCTGCATTTATATAAAATGGCCTCTCTAAGAAAAATCAGGTCTCACTTTATGTACACCATGAAAATCTTTAATAACTCTTTGCATTTTTCTTTACATTATACTAACAAAAGCTTTTCTGTTTGGACTATGCTCCATTAAAGTGGAGGGGCCTTGGGTTGACAATAACTTGCCAGCTTTACACTCTCCCTCTGAACAAGGACTATTTGTTTGCAGTTAAAGAGTAAGCAAATTGAAGTATTGCACAACATGTTTGCAATCAAATTTGCTAAAATCTACAGGCAAGTTTGAGAGACCAGACCATCTTTCCTTCTCGAGTCACAGATATTTTTTCCACTAAAAGAATGTAACAACTAATGTTTGTGCATTAATGTTTTACCGAACTTATTATTCTGCACAAATCTTGCAAACCAATGGCACGGTATACAGACGGCCTATTGCAAGAGGGGTGGAAACTTTTTTTTTTAATAGTATCTTTTCCCAGTTTGACACTATGGCATACTCATATGAAAAGTTACATTCTTCTGGGAAGCTGGGACAGCTGAAGAAATCATGACATAATTGAGAGGGAGCAACCTAGCTTAATTTGTAACTGGAAATAGGGACCTGTGTTTTTCTTTTTTGTGAGGTTGAATTAGTTGAATCTCTTCTTCAATGGCAGCTCCAGGATTCAACACAGACTGTTGAGTCAACATGTTAAACCATATCCATAACAAAAAAAGAAGCACGTTTGGTTATGGCTGGATGCACAAAACCTCCGCCCCCCATCAGTGCCAGTTCCACAACGTGACCTCTGTCAGACTAACAGAAGCGGGAAGATCAAGCACAGCCATTTAGCTTTGCAATACGCAGCTGTTCAAGCTGGGCAGGCTCTTCAGACAGTGACATTCTTTCTGAACCCACTACTGCAGGCTTGTCCAACATGCGGCCCACCAAGGCATTTTCTGAGGCCCAAGGTGCTGCAACAGGAAATGAAAGTAAACACTCCAGCTGGGTCCGTCCCATCCAGAGCAGCATGCGGCTCAAGCTGGCTTCCCACAAGCTGTTGGGGATGGGAGGAGCCCGCTGGGTCTGCACCAGCCAGCAGAAGTGGCGGCAGAGCTGTGTGCCGCTCGGGACGGGAGGAGCCTGGCCGGAGCAGCAGGGGCTCAGCTGCATTTTCCCCCTGCCTGCACATGGCTCCGCCGCCATTTCTGCTAGCCAGCACCGACCTGGCCGGCCTCCTCCCGTCCCCAGCAGCACATGGGAAGCCAGCTTCAGCTGCACGCTGCTTTTCCTGGCCGGTGCCAACCGGCTGGGCCCATTCCATCCGGGGCACCATGTGGCTGAAGCTGGCTTCCCACGGATGCCCGGCTGGGTCAGCACTGGCCAGAAGAAGTGGCGGTGGAGCCTCCTGCCTTTTGGGACCAGCTGGCACAGGTAGGGAGAAAGTGCAGCAGCATGTAGGGAAGCCACCACTTGATAGGGGACGGATGGGCTGGTCAGGCTGCACCAGGGAGGGAAAGCTGTGGCTGAGCCCCCTGCAGC